AGCCGGCTGGGGCGCGCTCGCGCGCGTGCGAGGACGTCCTCGCGTTGCCCTTAGCAACCCACCAGCCCCCGAGGCCCCGGGAGCTGGGGAAGGCCCTGCGGGTTAAAGATGGAGAAGGATCTGGATGATCTGTTGGATGAGGTCGAGACCAAGTTTTGCAGACCCGAACCACTAAGACTGGGCCTGGGCCCGCCGCCTAAAGTCTGCGGCGGCGGCAACCAGAGCAGCAACCGGAACGGAACCGAGGCGAAAAAGACTCTCAGGTTAAGGGGCGGGAGGGCTGATGGGCTGTTGTGGTGTGAAGCCTGCTTCAGGCCCCAGTGCCGCCGCTCCGCCGCCGTGCTCCAAAACAACGCGCCCCAGGCCACGAGCTCAGGCTCTCCCTCCTCTGGGGCTCGAACCCTGTGTCCCCTAACGTTCAGCGATTGGAAATTCAGACTTCTCGCTAAACCCAGGCTCCTAGGTGCCCTGTCCCCTCCCTGGGCCTGACGGTGACTCCTGATCCTCCCGATCGGGGGGGCTGCAGCGTCCACGCCCCCAGTCTCAGCTCCGGCCTGCACTGACCGGGGCCAGCTTTCCAGGTCCGGCCGAGCGGCTGTCCGCGCCCCGTGGGAAAGTGCCCGTGCAGTCCGAATAACCTGTGGGCCCTTTAAGACAGAAACAAAGCCAATACTGTTCTCTGACTTCACATTGATCTTTTGTTGTTGTTGTTGTTCTCTTCTTTGTTTAGTTCGAAGAATTGATCAAACTAGAGTAATGATGTTGTTAAGTGCCGTAAAGTCGTAGATGAATGAAAGTCTTGAATGCAGAACTTTACTCTTTTCTCCAAGTTCATAGTGTTTCTGGAGGCAAGCTTTTTTGGAAGTAGATACCACTCCTGCTTCCAAGCCTGTTTTATTCGGGAGACACACACACACACACACACACACACCCCTCAACCACCAACCCCCAACACACGCACACCCCTCAACCACCAACCCCCAACCAAGGTTTTTTGGAAGTAGATGCCACTCCTGCTTCCAAGCCTGTTTTATTCTGGAGACAAACACACACACCCCCCAGACAACCCCCAACCAAAAACAAACCCAAACCGGGCCCTCAGTTGATTACTGTGATCATTATTTTAGTCCAACTCCTCCTACTTTCAGGTAAGGATCTCAAGACCTCAAATGGAGTCCAGGCACTGAAGTAGTCAGAATTTGGAAATATTTCCTGTTTTTTTATTTCTATCTCAAAAACTACATTCCAAACTGATTGCACAGTATAATCATAATAGATCTTCCACCTTCATTTCCTCACTACCCCTGCTGAGAAAGGAACCAAAATTTTTATATTCTATTTTTATTTTAGAGTGTTGTCCTTCAGAGTGATGAATTTGGAAAGCTCTGTGTTAACCCTTGCGGAAATCTTTTGGAAATTTTCTCTTGCCTAGAACATTTTGTAATCGCTTGAATGCGCAGAGGCAGCAAACATTCACAGGATGAAACCGGCTTTCTCCTTTGAAGCTGGCGGTAGATTCGAGTCACTGGCCTTTCACTTAGTGGTACAACACATAACACACTGTATACTAGAACCCCTTTAACATAAGAGAAAACCCAGTTTCTAAACAGGAGCACAGCCACAGATGTCTGTGTCGTTTTGGGGACACAAACTCCAGTCTGTAACACCATTCCACTATTTAATGTGTCCTGTTTTTAAGTAATGCATATATAAAAGTGGTAGTTGACTGATGAGTGTTATTGTCATGCATGTGTTACAGCTTTCATCTGTTAATCATCTGGCAGTACAGTTGTAAAGAGAAATTATGCCAGAAAAATAGCAACAAAGGATTTAACACAATGAAACAGTATGGTGGGCATGAGGGTAGTATTTGACTTCTGCTAACTTCACAAGGGGGATGAATTCCAGTCAACAACACAAAGCTAATTTTTCTAGGCGCAGCTCATCTCCATGCTCCACACAACAGTTATAATATCAGCCTTCTCTCTCCCAGAACAACCTGCTTCTCTGCTTAAAGAACTCATGGCCGTGGAGTAGAAACTGACCCATAGCTGACCCTCTTTGGGTTTTCAAAGGAAGTAAATCGCATGGGAGGAGGTTGCCCATCTTTCTCCTGTGGAGCAGCTGGTGAATTCGAACCACTTGCCTTTGGATTGGCTGCACAACTCCTAATTCATTGTATTGATCACATAGAACTCACAGGTAGTACTCATTTACTGTGGTGGGCATGGTGGTGGCAGCATCTGGGTCAGCTTCTAACTGCCCAGGAGGGAAAGAATCCTCGACAGCATCAGGAACACAAAGCTGATCCCAGTGAAGTCAATCATGTGTCTTACACTTCACACCGTCAACAATTCCAGCACCAACTTTCTCGCTCAGTGTTCTCACTACTTTTCTGCTGGATTTGCTCATTCATTGCAGGACTCACAGACAATACAATTTTGGAGTTTAGAACCTCCAAGCACTTAACCACTGTGCCACTAGGGTTCCATATCTAGCAGATCAAGGTCAGAATTGTTGCAAAACCACCCTCAGTTAATTATCACTTGGTTAGTTAGTTATTACTAACTAGTTAATCACTGTTAGCAAGATATCACTAGTTCTGAGGTTGAGAAACTTCATCTAAATCATACTAACAAAAAAAGACATTGTGATCAAGTTGATTTCCTGTGTAGAGTGACCCTGCACAGTGGGACTGCTCCAAAGACTTCCCAAGGCTGTGGATGTTTGGGGAAGCTGACTGCCATGTCTTCAAACCACCAACTTTCTGTTTAGATCACCAGTTGATGCAAAGCCAAATCTACTTGAAAGGACAGAGAAACAACAGGTATAGACCACTCTTCAGTTGTGAAAGGGAGTGGTAGCTTCAGAAGAGGAGGCTTTTTGGAATCTTTTTGTTTGTTCTGAAAAAAAGACTTAAGCATATTAATAAGCCAAAGGAAGAAGTGAATATTGTTGTTACTGTGACCCCACCTCGCAGTGAGCTCACAGCAGAACCAAGCGCCGTCCTAGCGTGATCTGTTCTCACAGTCTGCTGTGCTTACAGCTACCTCCGCTCTGTCAATCCGATTCACTGACTCTACGCTACCCAGCATGATGTCTTTCTCCAGGGAATACCCCTCCTGATAGAATACCCAGAGTGTGTAAGATGACACAGGACAGGCCATCCACCTCTGAAATGACTGGCAGTGAATGTACAGAGTGAAAGATAAAAGTCAAGGAATCACTGAAGAGCCAGAGTTCTAGATTGAATCAGCATTAAACAGCCATTTGTAGATTTCCTTGCCCGAGGCAAATTGTCTTGTTCTAAGCAGTGACAAAATTTTTTAAAAAGCCTATAAATTCCAGTTGTTCAGAATTTTCGAAGAGTAAATCCATTTCTCAAATTCAAGATTTTGACAAACAGCACCAGCTCTGGTGAGCTGAAAGGCAGGAGGTTGGAATCCATCACAGGATAAAGATCAGCAATCTCCTCCTATGCGATTTACAGCCTCTGAGAACCTGCTGGTGGGTTAGCTCTGGGTCAGTTCCAGGATATAATAACAACAGCATCAGGTTGGCATACAGCATTTACAACCTAGGATATGTTTCTCTATTGAATACGGTAAAACCTGGGAAAGCCCCAGCCTGGTAGGGCAAGAAGGAAACTCAGATATTTTCTACTAAAACAAGCTATGGAAGAGTCAAAGGAAACAAAGTCATGAGACGGAGAGAAGGAAGGCCGTCTCAGTGAGGTAGAGCTATCACCAGTCTCACTGTTTCCATAAGTCAGACATGGAGTGATAAAGTTATTCAGTAACTAACCGCCTAGAAGTGCCGAGGTACTATAGCCAATTGCATCAGTATTCTTTTGAGAGCTCAGCTTGCAGAAGATGTGTTTCAGATACTCTGTCAAACAAATGGCTTTTTTATGGGAGGTTTTTTGTTTGGATATCGCCCCCCCCCATTTCAATTTTGTTGGTGCTAGTTATATAATTAGGTAACCATTGGCTCCTCTAAGAAGTATATATGGGGGGGATGTATATATGGTCATTTAATTTCTAATGGAACTCTTGTTGTTGTTATTGATTGCCTTTGAGTCAAGGATGACTCAGCGACCCTGTGGACAAAAGGCCTGAAGACCCTCTACAACTGTCAACGTTTATCAAAGTTCACAGAGTTTTCGGAGGCATGTTGTTTAGGAAGTAGATGCCACTCCTGCTTCCAGTGTTTCTAATGGAACACTTAGCGAAGAAAATTAGACTGTTTTAAAGTTCGGTTTGTTATAAAGAACAAGCAGGTTCTGCTTATACTCGTAGATATTTTGTGTTCTCTGCGTGGATGTTGTTGTAGTAGAGGAATATTTGTGCAGCTTTCTCCTGAATATAATATTTAGGCTTTTGAAGTTTGTTGGGGTTTTTTCTAAGTGTATGACATCAAAGCATGTGTGTGAATTTGTACCTGACACACTATCTTAATCTTCACAACCTTAGGTTATTTCCACAGCAGGGTAAAAACTGGATGTATTTATCCTTTTGTTATCAACTCTAATAACAGACTTTATTTAAACAAAACTTATCCCATACTGGTGGCTTTAACTCCTATTAACCTTCAAGTATGTTTTCTTTTTCAGAGTGTCAAACACATTTGAAGGAACAAATGATCTTGACAGCCTTATTGATGAAATATTTGAAGAGTCTAACTTTGACATGAAACCCATGGTAAGTTGGGTGCAGTAAATGTGCATTAATTCTAGCATTTCACTGTGGTTAGGATAGTCTGAAAACTTAAGGTAAAAGTGGCTATCTATAGCCCTCTGAATTCTAATAAATATAATTACCTAAAGAAATAACTCTACTTAGAGTTGTAGGAAAAAATGAAAATATTAGAAACTACATTTGGTTGGATGTTGTGATTTCTCTGTTTTGTTGTTTTTTTCAATGCTCAGCAAGAATGAGAAATGAGAAAGGCATTAGAGCAAAAGTCAGGTCATAGATCAGGTTACTCTGCTATATGTATTTCTCCAAGAATTATTTTCTAAAAGATTAGGAAAAACCAGCAGTCATCATAGGAATATACTTCGTATCAGCTCACTATGTCATAGACCAATGATTAAATAATCAAGTGTTTTATTTTCAAATGTTTATGTGTATCTCAACTTTATGAAAAATTTTAAAAGTAATGTTTGTAGTCCATTACTTTTCAGAATTGCATGTGGAAAAATGATGTCTATTAGTGGCTGGTCCATGGCCACATTGTCCCTGTGAGTTGCACTTGAATCACTTCCTCAAAGGCTGTACTACGCTCCTGAAGGAATTGCCCCCTCTTACTCTCAGAACCACTTGAGAAAGCTCAAGAACTCACAGCAAGCGTTGCAGTGCCACAATCTAGAAGTGTAACCATGAGCCCTGTGGTATATGAAATACATTCCCCTAAAGAAAAGAGGATCTTGCACATTTTATTTCTGACATATATAAAAAATTTTTCTAGTTCTGTTTAATATTAAATAGTAAAGAGAAATCATGAAATGAAATCTTTTTACCTTCATTAACTTTTCTAACTCACTGGGTAAAATGAAGACATGTCACTGCATAGTTTAAATTGCCTTTTCTCCATCTCACTTCCTCCTCTTGGCGGTGGTCCTAGTATGTGGTTGGTTTCTATTGTCTGGTACCATATGCTGGTTAGCACTTAATAAATGCTTGCTAACGATGATGATGTTATGCCACCATGTAGGAACTACTGGATGGTTGTGACTAAATAACTCTACCTTTCCTTGAACATCTATTGGCTGATACCGTTCCATTTGATCAAAATTAATATTCTTGAGGTTACCCAGGAGGTAGGTTAGTTTATTTTTGGTTCAGATGAGAACCATTCACAGCCTTTAAAAATGAGTCTGATTTTCTTTTTCTTTTACTCCTCAACTGAATTTTTCCAGGATGAAGTTTTAAATAGCAGCTCCTTCATATTAAATCACTGAACTCTAGTATTAACTGAAGAGTTATAAAAGGACTCTAAATCTTAGCATGCTAATAAAGGTAGTATATCAGCTTCCTAGACTAAAAGCGGAGTAATTTGCAAATTCCTGAGAGAATTCTACTTCCCTTTTGCCTTTAAAAGGTTTTGATTATTGTTTTTGTTTCAGAAATTTAATGTTGCCACCAAGATTTTTATTTAATCTTTTTTTTAAAATCATATTAACAAATAAAGAATATTTTTGTGTTACAATTGCTTATAGTTTTCTTTTGTCTTTTCCTGTTTTGTTTCTTTAGCAGAAATCTAAATTGGAATCTTCAGGTAACACATCTGTCAGAGTTTCTATTCAAGGCCTTAGTAAGAGGTAAGTTAAGACTACTTTGGTGAATTATACAGGCTAGTGAGCAGACACTGTGAACATAGTCTAGTAGATTTGGTTACCATTTAAACAACAGTGTCATTGAACAACAAAGCACTGCTTGGCTTTCAGAGACCAATATCTGCAGTGTTCTCAAGGTCCATGACCATTTAGTGTAAAAAGAACTTGAAATGGAAGGTTATTACTATTGTAAATAATTTTCTGCCATGTGAGGGGGGAAAAGTGCGAACAGTTTCTCAAAATTAATGTTCTGTTATATTCTCCAGTATTAACTTTGACCCTTATATTTTTCGGCAAACACATTTTTTCTGTGACTCATTTTAACTCTGAGTGTTCCTGCATGTCCATGTTATATCCAATAAGCAGTGATCGTGGGATAGATGTCTCTTCTTAGAAACAGTTGGCTTGCTAGGGAAAATATAAAATTTGGTTATAACAACATAGGTCAATGAGGCTAAATTAACTTCTCATATTTTTTTTCTGTTGTACTTTCACTTCCCTCCCGTCTGTTGAACACGTCCAGTTGCAGTCCGGTGTACCTCGGCGGAAGTACTGTTCCATGTGGTGTCGGAACAAATACCTCACAAAGGTAGCTAATCAGAAATACATTATGCTTTCTTATTATATTTTTCTAAACTGATGTTTAAATGTAATTCTTATCATCTTGGCATAAATCTGTTTTAAAATGAGAGACATATATTATTGGCCAGTCTGAGAATTCTTTATCAAAATGATGATGATGATGATGATGATGATGATGATTCACCGTCAGTTGGCGCTGACCCTTCAGCAGGTTTTCAGAGGCAGCAAATCACATGAGAGAATATTGCCCATTCTCCTAACTGCATGCCTTTGCACTTGCAGCACAGCTTCCTACCACTAGATCACCAGTGCTCAAAGTTTTGATATTTCAAGTTATGATGTCAGATATGCACTATATGTTGTGTTGAGGGCTTTTAAAACCTAAAAATACCTGGATCACTCCAGTTCCTGCAGTTTACACCAGACACCAGAAGAGTAATCTTCCACCTTTCCATTTTCCCTTCCAGGCATTGAAGCCACTGAGTGAGGGAGGAGAGACAGTGTGGAATATTAACTACAGAGTTCTTGGAACTCAGCATGAGAAACTGCCAATGTGTGGCACCCAAAAATTTTTCAGACATAGCACTTGGTTTTACCTAATTAGAAACCTCTCTCCACCTCTTTCTCTGTCTTTCTTCACACCCAGGACATCTATCAGGGAATTCTTAAGGCCATAATGCCACCTGCCCCAAATGGCAATGTTACTAGCTCCATACTCTGTATGACTAGGTTGATTTTAAACAAATCTTCTTACCATCCTATTTTTGCTTCCATTTTTAGCAAAGATCTACTTAACTAAGTATCTTTATTATGTTTTTGTCTAGTTATTTCTGAAACAGTGTTTATTTTCTATGTATGTTTTTGTGGAAGAAGCAATTGAAATATTTGATTGCATGTTGATGATATTTCTGGAGAGATAGCTGTTATATTGCATGAAAGAAGAGAGATCACAAGAGAGAATTGTCGTGGTGCTGGGCTAGGTGCTAGGAAGCCTGGGAAGAAATCTAGAGGACCACAGTGAAATTGGAAGTCTAAGGAAGCCTTATACCAGAGACATTGGACACAGATATGCTAGTGTAAGTCTATAGGATGTGGCCTGCTTTGTGTGCCATAAATAAGAATTGACAGCAGTTGAATAATGATGTGTTTAAGACTATTTGTACAAAGTGTTTGTGCCATGAACTTGTCTATGTTGTTGTTATGTGCCATCGAGTCACTTGCGACTCATAGCGATCCTCTATGTACAACAGCCCTAAACTCTGCTCTGTCCTGTGCCAATCGCACTGTCTCTGACACTCCCATCCCAATTATCCCAGTCACTGAATCAATCCACCTCATAGTGGACCTTCCCCTCCACCCTCCCAAGCATGATGTCCTTCTCTAAGGACCGGAATATATAGCCTTGTTTCTGTCAGTCCTGAATTATCATAGTCAACTCCGTTGGACTTGTCTCCTTAACTTCCACACCTTTTCAGACTCTGTCTGGGGACATATGAATTACACTAGCAATGTCACAATTTCCATTCCACTTCTATCTTCTGCCCATCTCTAGTTTCACCCATAAATTTTAATCATTCAAGAGCATTAAAGATCCTTTTGAACACCTCTCCCCTAGTCAGTAGGAAATGAGAGTTGCCATTTGTCTTCCTCTGTCAAATTACAGGCCTCCTCCTTGTTGGCCTTTAGTTCCTTTAGTTCCAAGTGCAGCCTGAGCCAGGTGCTGCACTTGATGTAGAATTTCTGTTATCATCCACTACTTTCATTTTTCTGCCTCTGAGCATTTTTACATTTATTCCCTATCTGGAATGATCCTCCTTTCCAAACTATATCCGATGCCGTCTTTATCCACTTAATTACTGCCCCCATTCCCCCACCCCCGTCATTACTCATCAAACAGCCATCATTTCCTAGACCCTATGGTAAGCATTGGGTGCCAAATACATATAAACCATGCCTGTGGCATTTAAGAAGCCAGGCTCTGATGACAGCTTACCTCACTATATGGTTAATAAGCTGTTAAACCCGGGAAAACAATGTTATCTCCTAAAACCTGGTCTTCTTGCCTATTAAATGCTATATAACCTTTGTGGAGATATTGCAAGGATTAAATTAAAGAATTCATGGAAGTTCTGCCTATGATACAAAACAGCTAGTCACTGTAAATGCATTACATCATAGTCAGTTATGTGTGTTATGTTTTTATCCAGTCTTCTCATTATGTTCTATCTCAGGGCAAGGATCCTATTTCCTACTCCTTTAAAAAAAAAAAACACTCAGGATGTACTTATCAATGTTTACATGCAGATATCATCTCATTTTTTTTCCTTGAACATCTGATTTTTAAAATAGTTATTTAAGGAAAGAGAACATTTTCCAGTTTATTTCCAAAGAGTAAATATTTCATGAAGGCATTCTTTCTTCTATACTTTGATTGAGTTCTAGTGTAGAAGAATCTTTTCTCAATTAGAATTTCAGTGGACAAGTAAAGGCCTCATTTCAAAGCAGAAGGGCCCTATCACATGATAGTCTTCCTTCTTGTTGTTGTTGTTATTGGTAGTTGCCGTGGAGCCAGCCAGGACTCTAGCAACCTCAGGAACCAATCTGACCTTTGCTCTATCCTGCATGATCCTCATGATCTCTGAGACTTCAGCCCATTGATAAAGTCACCGAAGGGGAAGTATGGGACACTACATGCAGAAATAATGGATACCCTAACTGATATGAAGAGTCAAGCAGTGCTTCCCCAAGCAAATAACATTTCATTAAACTCAGATACAAAAAGACAACTCTGGTGCCTTAATGGGGTAAGAAGTTCCACTACCAACCAAAGTTAGACAGTTTGACTCTACCATCTGCTCTATGGGAGAAAGATGGGCCATTTACTGCCTTCAGAAGCCCACTGGACGGTCAGCTCTGAGTCGGTCCCAATTCAACAGCAGTGAAAGAGAGTGAAAATTCTTTTTTTAAACTACTTGCAAGACTGAATTATTCCATAAACTGGTACTAATTATGATCTAATAGAGTGAATCGTAACAGTGGAATGATTTCTTAGCTGTAAGTTAGTGTAATTTTTCTCAAAGGACAGTGTGTGTAGAAAAATGTGGTAGTGCGAATAGATTTGAATAAACTACTAAATTTTAAATTAAATTAAAAAGCTGTATTTAACATTATGGTTGAAATTTTACACATACAAAATGTCAGGAAATTCTAAATTATAGTCCCCACCATAGTAATAATTCAGCCAAATTGCACATATGTATTAAGGCATTAAAGTTAACACTCTGTACAATCATGTAATAAACTACAAATGCATAAGAAAGCAGGTTATGGCAGCTTTGGGAACCATCACTTTGCATTTCCTGACTTGTACATTCAAAAATCTCAATTTAAGTGTATAAAAATGCAATTATGTCAGATTTCCACAGATATAAATGCAACTTCATAAATTGCTGAGTTTCAATACTTAGACATATTTTAAGTATTTCATTGTTGGTATAATTATTTTTAGAAATATAGAATGTCCTTCAAAAAAAGCACTAAATTTAAGTCAAAAAAATCTGAATTTTAGGAGAAAATTAAAATAAATGTAAAGATGTGGAGTTTTTTTAATTTTATAATTTTTAACTGCCTGAGTATTCTACAAAAAAGTAAAATAAAAATCCAAAAATGTATGAATAGGAAAATACTATCTCCCTTCCTCCCTTTCCTGCTGAGGTGTGACCAGTGTTAGCTTCATAATTTAGAACCGTCCACCTTCTTAAGGGTCTGCCTTGGTCTTAAAAACACTTCCTTAGAAATTCTGAGCCAGACAGTGCTTTTTTTGTTAGTTTTTAACATTGAAAATGTTGGGGTTTTTTTTCTTTGTTACATTTTCTCACCCTCTCCCCTCCCCTAACACCCTCCCTGTGCTGCACCCCTCTTGACAAAGCAGCCCTGGAGACTCAGTGAGTTAAGAATTTTTTTTTCTTTCTTTTTAAAAAAAAATTTTATTTATTTTAATGAAAGTTTACAGAGACTTTGGATTACCATTCATTCATTGTTGCACTTTTCTCCCTGCCCACCCTTTCTCCTCCAATTTGCTTTTCTTTTTCAAAAGTAAAAGAAAAAAATTATTTCCCTGTTAACCAATCCCTACCCCCCAAGACCACTCATGGGTTAAGAATTTGGCTGCTGACCATAAGGTGGGCCGCTCAAGCCAAACATTTGCTATATTGGAAGAAAGATGAGGTGTTTATTACACTTTGTAGGCTTTATAGGCTCAGAAATCCTAGGTCTGCCAGATTTGAAGGGTCACTGTGAGTTGGCAGAGAGCCCTGGTGGCTTGGTGGATAGGAAGTGGTACTACCAACCCCAAAAGCACGTGCTTTGACTCTACCAACTGCTCTGAGAAAGAAAGATGGGCAGTCTCCTCTTGTGTGATTTACAGCCTCTGAAAACCTACTGCAGAGTCAGCTGTGAGAGGGTTCCAACTCGAGGGCAGTGAGTGAGGGAATGAGAGGACATGGAATGATCTCAGCAGCAGTTAGTTTGAGTTTGTTTTATTTTTTCAAACAAAAGTAGAATCAAACTATATACCTCTCACTTTAGATATCTTTCTAGGTCACTAGTTAAATCTAATTTAGTCTCTATCACTTCCTGCTATTCTGTGGTATGAATAATCCTGCATATTATTCCTGCTTGTTACGTTTTTTGATAGACATCAGGTAAAATACATTTTTTTTTACTTAAAAAATATTGCAATAAGCATTCCTAAAACATATTTACCAGACCTTCATATGGAATAGCTCCTGATAGCTAGTGAAACAGCTGTGTATAATTTTGATTTTAAAATAAGGCCAGTATTTTTTATAAGAAGATATAGCAATTTACATAACCATGAGAAAAGAAGAAAATGTTATTTCTAACGTGATTTTTAAAAAACCAAACACATCTTGGGGAAAGGAGGAAAATGTGTCTCAATGAATGAGTGAATACCCATCCTTTTTTGTAAATTTTCACTAAACTCATGGGAGGAGAACACCCACATCTTATTTAAATGCATTTATGTACTATTTTAATTTTTTTTAAACTAACAATCTGTCAAGATGCATTAATAATGATGGGTGACTGGAATGTAAACGTTGGGAACAGGGAAGAAGGATCAGTAGCTGGAAAACATGGACTCGGTGAGAGAAATGAGGCTGGAGATAGAATGATAGAGTTCTGCACATTCAAGGATTTATTCATTGCAAATACACTTTATAAGAAACATAAACGCAGGCTATACACATGGATTTCACCGGATGGTATGCATAGGAATCATATAGATTACATTTGTGGAAAGATTCACTGGAGAAGCTCGATATCAGCAGTGAAAACCAGGCCGGGTACTAATTGTGGGATAGACCACCAACTACTCATATACAAATTCAGCTGAAGTTGAGGAAAATTGAGTCAAGTCCACGGGAACCAAGATTTGACCTTAAGTCTGTCCCACGCGAATTTCAAAACCATCTCAGGAACAGGTTTGAGGCCTTGAGCACCAATGAGCGTAGACCAAATGAGCTCTGGGAGGATATCAAGAAAATCATCCATGAAGAATGCAAAAGATCATTACAAGGGCTAAAGAAGAAGAAAAGACCAAAATGGATGTCAGATGAGACTCAGAGTATTGCATTAGAGCACCGAGAAGCCAAAGCTAAAGGAAGAAATCAAAGAGCTGAACAGAAAACTTCAAAAGGCAGCTCAGGATGACAAAGCAAGATACTATAATGAAATGTGCAGAGAGCTGGAGTCAGAAAATCAAAAGGGCCAGACTCGCTCAGAGTTGAAAAACAAATTCAAGCCATGGGTGGCAATACTTAAAGATACTTTGGGTAGAATGTTGAATGATCCAGGAAGTATCAAAAGAAGATGGAAGGAGTATACAGAGTCACTGTACCAGAAGGAATTGGCCGACACAGAGGAATTTAATGAAATAACATATGAGCAAGAGCCTATGGTGACAAAGGAGGAAGTTCAAGTTGCTATGAAGGAATTGGCAAAGAACAAGGCTCCAGGAGTTGACGGCATACCAATTGCTTTATTTCAACAAACAGATGCTCTCCTGGATGTGCTCACTAAGTTGTACCAGGAAATCTGGAGGACAGCCAGCTGGCCAACTGACTGGAAGAGATCAGTATTTGTTCCCATTCCAAAGAAAGGTGACCCAACAGAGTGTGGAAATTATCTAACAATATCATTGATACCACATGCAAGCAAGATTCTGCTGAAAATTATAAAAAAATGTTTGGAATAATATGTCAACAGAGAACTGCCAGATGTGCAGGCTGGATTTAGAAGAGGTCGTGGTACTAGGGATATTATAGCTAATGTTATATGGATCTTGGCAGAAAGCAGAGAATACTAGAAGAATGTCTATCTGTGCTTCATTGACTATGCAAAGGCTTTTGACTGTGTGGATCACAAAGCTGTGGCTGACTCTGAGAAAAATGGGAATCCCAGAACATTTGGTTGTGCTAATGTGAAACCTGTACTTGGACAAGGAGGCAGTCGTCAGAACAGAACAGGGAGACACTGGATGGTTCAAAATCAAGAAAGGGGTCCGTCAGGGATGTATTTTGTCTCCATACCTTTTCAATCTGTATGCAGAACAGATCATCCAAGACGCTGGGCTGTACGAGGAGGAATGTCCCATCAGGATTGGTGGAAGAATTGTCAACATCTGTATTACGCGGATGACACAACCATGCTCGCTGAAACTGAGGAGAACCTGAAGTGCTTGCTGCAGAAGGTCAAGGACTGCAGTCTTCAATATGGATTGAAGCTCAATATCAAGAAAACAAAGATTCTCACCACTGGGCCAATTGGCAGCATCAGTATGGATGGTGAAGAGATTGAGATAGTTAACAGTTTTCATTTACTTGGTTCCACAGTCAACACTCTTGGTAACAGCAGCCAGGAAATCAGGAGACGAATTGCATTGGGAAAGTCAGCTGTGAGCGACTTCTCAAGAGTACTGAAGTGCAACGACGTCAGGCTGGAGACTAAGGTGCACCTGATCCAGGCTATAGTCTTTGCTATTACGTGCTATGCATCAGAGAGTTGGACAGTGAATAAAGATGATAGAAAGACAATTGATGCCTTTGAGTTGTGGTCCTGGAGAAGAGTGTTGAATATACCATAGACTGCTAGGAGAACAAATAGGTTTGTCCTGGAGAGGCTGAAGCCAGATGTTCCCTGGAGTCAAGGATTCTGAAGCTTCATCTGACATACTTTGGGCATGTTGCAAGGAGGGACTGGTCCTTGGAGAGGGACATCATGTTTGGGAGAGTGGAGGGACGGCTCAGGAAAGGAAGACCCTCAATGAGATGAATTGATTCTGTGAGTGGAGTGGTGGGAATGAATGTGTTTGAGACAGCAAGATTGGCACAGGATAGAACGGCGTTTAGGGCTCTTGTACATAGGGTCGCTATGAATCGTCACAAGCGACTCGATGGCACATAACAACAAAAACAATATAGAAAAGGTAGTGTTATAAGCACTAGAAACAAGGATGGCCAGACTGTGTCTTACGTGCTTTAGGATAATGTTATTCAAGTAGGGCTAGTTCCTGGAGTTCATCCCTTGAAATTAGAAAATTATTTTAGGAGGTATAAAACCAGTGTAGTCAATTTCCATAGGAAAGGAAATAAAAAGAAGTTGGCTTGTGTGAAATCTCCTACAGACATAGAAACACAGAACTGTTGAACTAAAAAATTAACAAGTCTATTTTATATCTGTACGACATCCATGTATTCATAGATATATTAACAATGCAAAAATCTCAGTAAAATAGTTGTGCAAAAGTTTAACTGGACAATTAAAAAATGTAACTCCTTTAAAACAAATATTTTCAATAAAGTTAAGGTTTACTTTTCTGATTTACTCATAATAAACTGTGTTTTAATGTTGTGCTGTCGCATTGTAAACTCACAGCAACCCTATGAACGAAAGACCTGAACATGTGTATACAACTTCCATCATTTCTCCAAGTTCATAGAGTTTCTGGAGGCAAGCTATGATATAGTATGGATAAATCAGCATATTATGATATTCAAACAGATCATCTTGGGTTCCTTCCTTTCTTCAACCAGAGCTTGTGACCATCTGCGCTGCATCGCCTGTGATTTCTCAGTAGTGAGCTATGATGACTGTATGTGGGACAAGTCATGCGATTATTTGTTTTTCAGGTATGTTCCTAACAAACTTCACTCTGTGAAATACAGCTTTCTTTTTGTAATTTATAGTCCTGTCTCCTGATGGGTTTAGCCATCTCATGAACTCCACCTCTAACAGGGTTTTCTCACCCACCTCTTTTATATCTGTCTGCTGTCAGTCTAGGTAAGAACTCTGTTACCACTGGGTGAGACTACAGCAGTATCTTCCTCACTGATTTTCTGTCTACAACCTCTATTTCAAGTCATCTTCCCTTTTCTCAGAGCCTTCTCAGAACCAAGTCTCCGAGAATGCCATTCTCCTCCCCAGTACATAGAATTGTCCAGGTTTCCTGGCCTGGCCTACAGCATGCTCCCTAGTCAGCCCCCTTTTACTGTCTAGTGTTTCCACAGTATGAGTTTCACCCTGGCAAGAAATTAGTGTCAATTAATTACTGTATTTTCCCATTCTCTATCAGTGTGCCTCACAGGCACGTTCCCACCGCTTCATCTGGCCAAACCCTCCCTGTCTCTCAGGGCACGCAACTCATCCCACCTTGATTCTCTCTCCGTTGTCTAAGTTTAGAAGTGACCTCTTCCATTCCTACACAGCAGCACTTTGTTCCGCTTGGTAACAGCACTTCCGATGATAGAAAATGTAAGATTGCTTGTCGCATTATGTTTGAGTGTTGTTGTTGTTGTAAAACATCGAGTTGGAACCAACTCAGAGCTGACCCTCCAGCTAGTTTTCAGAGGCAGTTAATCGTACTAGAGGAGATTACTCATCCTCCTCCCACAGAGTGGCTGGTGGCCTCGAACTGCATGCCTTCGGGATTGCAGCACAGCTTCTTGCCTCTAGGCCACCAGAGCTCCCTATTTTTATTATTATGCTTGATACTGGTGTTTTATTCTTTCTGGTTTGGTTGGGTTTTTTTTTCTTTTTACATTCTTATACACATACTGGATACTTACTTTTTAAAAATATTATAAAAATGTATTTGGATTATTTATTTACATTTTCAAATAAATGTTAAGAGCTGAAAATTAATAAAGTGCACAAATTATGTTCTCTGGCCCCCCAGCTTTGTGCCTAAACAGACTGTATTTTCTATATTGAATACAAGAATATATTGTAACATTTTTCTAGAGTGTAAAGAAAAGGATGAAATCTTTCTCCCGTACTTTTTTTTTTAAAAAAATACTTTATTATTTTTTTTGTGTGTACCGTCAAATCAGATCTGACTGGTACAGGAGGAGATTGCCCCTCCTTCTCCAACAGATCTACCATACTTTTTAAAATATTTTCTTTTTTATTAGAGAGAGAGAGAGTGAGTGTGTGTGTGTGTGTGTGTGTGTGTGTGTGTGCGCGCGCGCGCGCGTGCACACCATCAAGTCAGATTTGACTGACACAGGAAGAGGTTGCCTCTCCTTCTCCAACAGGGCATCTGGTGGGTTCGAACTGCATGCCTTCGGGATTGCAGTGTAGCTTCTTGCCATTAGGCTACCAGAGCCCCCTTTCTCCCATATTTTTTGTTTTTTCAGCCTCTCCAGCTACATTCATATAAATCCATAGGAATGTCTCCCTACAATTTAATGGCTTTTAAACTTCATCCCAGTATGGGGGGGAGGGAGAGTTGTTAGGTGCCACTGAGTCAAATATGACTCAGAGTGACCCTATGAACCTTGTCCTATCCTCTACTATCCTCATCATCACTGACACGCTCCAGCCCATTGCTGTCATCACAGTGTCAATCCATCTTACTGATCTTTTGAGGTCTTTTGCTTCTTCTCCACCTTTCTAAGCATGAGGTCCCTTTCCAGGGAATAGCCTCTTCTAGTAAAATGCCCAGAGTATACAAGATGAAACTTCCTCATCTTTGCCTCTAAGGAACACTCTGGCTGTACTTTCTCCAAGACACACCTGTTTGTTCTTTTGGCAGTCCTCTTCTCCAGCACAACAATTAAAAGGCATCAGTTTTTCTGTCATCCTTATTGTCCACTCTCAGATGCATAGCAAGTGATAGAAAAGTTCTAAATCAGGCACACCTTAGTCTTCAAACTAAAAGCATTGCTCCTCAGTGATTTGAACAGGTCCCTGACAGCAAACTTGCCCAATGCTACATCTCCTCATCTCCTGACTGCTGGTATTAAGAGTGTTGGTTGTGGATCCCCGTAAAATGAAATGGTTGACAGTTTCAGTGAGAGGAGACCTGGGTTGGATTCTTAGCCATTAAACCTTAAGCATCACTGTGCATCTGTCAGTGGAAGCTGGGGTGCTATAGGGACGTGGAGCAGGTTCAAGCAGAACTTCCAGAGAGACCGATTAGGTGGTATCTTTTTGAAAATCAAAGCGTTTGCATGAAGACAGACCTGGTGGCCTGCATATGAAGTCTGCCAATGAAAGCCCTGTGGGTCCTGATGATGTGGAGTCTCCATGAAATACAGTGTAATTCACAGACTGTAACATCAGGAACATTTTGAAAATAAGTAAGAAAACTTTGAATCTTTTCCTCAATAAAAACTTAAATATACTTAGGAAAATGACATGATTTTAGCCATTTACAGCCCCCAGCCTAAGCAAAGCTTAGTGCAGTCCCAAAATCTCAGGCCTCAGAGACCCCAACTTTGTAGATTTGTATTGCTGTTGTGTACCACTAAGTCAGAACCAACTCAGAGCTGACCCTCCAGCAGGTTTTCAGGTTTAAATCACATGGGAAGGGGTTGCCTGTCCCTCTCCCACGGAGCAGCTGGTAGATCCAAACCATGGACCTTTTGAGTTGGCAGCACAATTCCATACCACTAAGTTGCCAGAATTCCTGTAAGTTTGTATTAACTCATTTTTTTTTGTATACTTGGGAAAAATTCCCTTTAATAGCAAATTTATTTCTTCTGACTTCTGCAGTCTCTCTGCTGTTACCTTTTGGGTAATCTAATAAAGGCTAAGAAATCCCTGTCTGTCAAGATAAACTACTTTATCCGTTTTTGAAAACAAGTACAAGATAATAGAAAGTCACCTGCAGCCTGTGACTAATACAGTGTAGTCAGCTCATTGGTGGTTTTGTTCAACTTGATGAACCTACAGTGCTTCAGATATACCAAGAGCAGCAGTGAGTTTTCTCTGGACTTGTGTCAGCCTGTTTCTGGTTTATTGGTGGGTTGTTTTGCTTTGTTTTCTTTTATACTGATTTATTTACAAAATTGAATATATTGTTTGTCATGAAAGGTCCTTCCCATTTCCTTCACACATACCCATCTATCAGAGGGTGGCCGTGGAATAGGACGGATTTCAGATCCTTTGTTCATAGGGTCGCTGTGAATCTTATTCAACTTGACAGCATCTAACAACAGCAACAATGAAGAGATGCTATAGGGCAACACAGGCAACTGAAATGAAAATCTGAGTTATGGCAGTGAGGAGGGTAAAGAGCTGTATCTGAGAGACGCTTAGAGACAGCCCTGGCCTGGAAGGTGAGAAGCACACCACCTAGGGTGAGGCCGAGGATTCATTCCTAGATGGATTATAGTCCTGCCCATCAAAAGAGATTTTAAGGACAGAATTGAAAGGGGGGGTTCCATATTGTTTTATGGGAAGTAACTATTTTTCATCTAGTTAAGACTGTGGCTTTGAACTACAGTAATGGAAAGTGGTAGTGAAGTCCTGAAATTGACTGTTACCTCTGAAGGGAATGTAGAGTTAAGAGTCATTTTGTTAAGATAGAAGATACGTGGATGTTTATGTCGTGAGGACTAGGAGAAGATAATGGGAGGGTAATGTGTTGGTAACAAGGGCTCAGAGGTGATGGGATTCAGAGTGGTGATGCAAGCAAGCCGGCATTGGAAAAAGAATGGGGGCCCTTCCTCTGGGACTAAGTAAAAGAAGATAAGATACTAAAAGCAAGAATGTGTGGTGACCAAAGCAATTTAAAAGGTTTGGAAAGTGAAGGGTCAGCGTAAGAGAGGAAGACCTTCAACAAGGTAGATTAACATAGTGACTACAGCAATGGACTCATGTTTCGGAGATAATGAGGGCGGCATGAGATAGGACAGGGTTCAGATCTGTGTTTATGGGGTTGCTGTGAGTCATACTGTGCTCAGTGCACCTAACAGCCTTAGCTGTCCAACAGAAAATGGGAAGCACCTTCTTTTTAGTGTTAGTAATCTGCATGTTATGTGTTCTGAAACAGTGGACGGTTGTTTGTGTTACTGTCCTTTTGCAGATGAGGGAAATGTGTTGCTTAGCTTAGACAAGTTCTGGAACTTTCTGAGAAAAGGGAATAAGCTATGCTTATTGACTACCCTAACAGAATTACTAAATAGATGCTTTTATTTTCCAATAAATAGGTGTTTTCTTTGTGGGAAAGTGATTGAATAGTTTTTAAAAATATCTATTTCTTCTTAAAAAGCATTTGAAATAAATACATTCTCTGGCTTTTCACTAGTAATATTCCTGTAATCCATAATTAATATTTCAGCTAAGTATTAACTGTAGTAAATATTAAATTATTAACTTTGTCAAGATATAATTGAATAAGGAATATTTTCTTTAGCCAAATTAGTGCTTTTTCCCCAATAAAATTTAGGTTCATATAATTCTTCTCAGCACCACCAGTATAACTTTAAGTAAATAACTTACTAGTCAGAGCTTCACCTGAAGTCACACAGTTGTCACTCAGATCCTCTTGAGTTCCAACTGCCTGAATTTTGTCTGCATTTTGGACAACAAAGTACTGAATGTGGTGCCTGTCCACCACCAGAGGGCGCTTTGTTACCTTTGTTCCATTTCTGTGGCATCAGCAAGTAATGGGAAACACCGACTCTCCTTTTCAGTATTCATACTGTATTTCATCATTTCACTTTGTTTCATCACTTTCGTAAAGTTTCAGTTTTTATTCAACCATATAATGGTTACCTAAACTCAGTACATGACTTATGAAAAACATGATCAATTTTCAGTATAATAACTTCATAGCTTTTAATAATGGCATCACATCAGACGCTACTCTCTTAGTTACTAGTTGCCATAACCCAAATACCACAGTGAGTGACTTTAGAAAACAGACACTTCTTTTCTCAGCATTAGTGGGCTAGTGGGCTGGAAGTCTGTCCACATCGCCCTGGAATGACAGCCTCGTTTGTACATTGCAGCCTCTAGTAACCGGCAGTCCTTGGAGTTCTGGGTTTGTATCTGCTATATTTGTCTACATAAGATACCTTTCCCTGTGTCTATTCCTATTCTGATTTTATTGTATCTCAAAAGTTATTAGATTTAAGACCCTCCCTAGTCTGGTATGACTCTATTAATAAAGTTCTGTTTCTAAACAGTATGTATCCACAGATACAGGAGGAGAAATTTGGCACAGGCTTTGAAGGAACACAACTTAGTCTTTAACATTGATCATGTCTTTATGGTGCTTCTCACTAATTGTTCTATCATTATTGACATATATTTCAGAATGGGCATTTATTTTGTTCTTGATAGTAAATCAGCAAATCACTGGAAGAAATCATTGAATGAAACTCCATTGAGCTTTTCTCTGTTGATGAAAAATTTCCATAATTTACTCATCAGAAGTCTGTTATCTGGTTCGAATCCACCAGATGCTCTGCCGGGGAAGGAGGGGCAATCTCCTCCTGTACCAGTCAGATCTGATTTGACGGTACACGCACACAAAAAATAATAAAATAAAATTTAAAAAAAAAAAAGAAGTCTGTTATCTTTACGTCTGTCATATGCCTCTATCTTTTTCCGTATTTCAGGCTTTTAAAATTTCAGTGGCAGGCACTCATGTTAGTCTCTGAGGTAGGAGACAAATCACTCCTCTTCCCACCCTGTCATTTCCTCTCCCAGAGGACAGATCAGCAATTTGTCAGCCTTTTTAGGTCATTGTGTTCTACAATATCCCTAATATACCGGCCTTGAGGCTTAGTGGTAAGGAGTTGCTTGGAGAACCCAAACGTAGGCAGTTCAAATTCACCAGCTGCTTCATAGATGAAAGGTGGGTATCCTTCCCCTTTCATGTGCTTTGCAGCCTCTGAAAACCTTCTAGAGGGTCAGCTATGAGTAATTTTTGATTCGACAATACATTATCAACAGAGTAGTTACAAGTACAAATAGCAAAGAAGTGCTTTCAGAAAAAGAAAGCCAAAGAATGTCTTCTGTTTCAGTGTGAAAGAATCAAAGTTGTTGAGTATTCAGAGTTCCAAAGATTATTAAAAATCTATATCATCTTTTTTTATTTTTCTGTAAGTCAGTAACACTGAAGAAAGCCACTATACTAAAGCTTTTGTGTTTTACTAATAGGAACAACATGCCAGAATTCCACAAATTAAAATCTAAGTTGGTAAAGAAGAAAGGAGCACGGGCATATGCTTGCCAGTGTAGCTGGAGAACAGTGGAAGAACTGACTGACCTTCAGACCGATCATCAGCTCCGTTGGGTTTGTGGAAAACACAAAGGATGACTTTTCACTCTCAGACAAATGTATTCGTGAGAATAGTTCCAATGATCATAATGCTATTTGGGTAAAGAATAGAAGGCCCTTTGGAAAAAGGCGGTGAACATCATTTTTTAACTCCACAAGTTTTTGCAAACTGAACGGACTGAGGAAACAAGGTACTTTTAACATTTTGGAATTGTTATTTTTGCTACACAATTGTTTCACTTACTAATGTAAAAGATTATGTTGTTAGCCTGTATGTTGTTAAATGACAGTTTCTTTATAATAGAGTTTCATAAAAACATAGACCCTTTTATTAGCAACTATAGTATTGACTGCTACTACACTTAACATAAACTTTATTTATAGCCATTAAGGAGGATGAAGCTAGCCACAGAAAATCCATTGTGGGGGAGTCTACAAAGCCTACCACAGCAACATCTATTGTTTGCAAAAAAGTCATAATTAGACATGGTATAAACCAAGTGATTGGTAGTAAATCAAAGAGTTCCCAATGGTTCGAGTATGTCATAAGATCACCCATATCTGATCTTACCTCACCAACTCACAGTGTTATGTGCTTTAATAATAAATAAATTATACTGCTTTTAGCTTTTCTTTCTTTTTTTAGATATGAACAATCAAGTATTAAGTCTGCTGTTTTAAGCAAGTAGACATATTTAAATACAAAAGTTAAGATACACCTAAAATAATAGTATTTCATTTAAACATAGACTGCTTGCATTTAGACGTTTCCCAAAGTTGTTGTTATATACTGTCAAGTCAGAGGCAACCCTCTGCTGACCTTCCAGTGGGTTTTCAGAGGTAGTAAATCACATGAGAGGAGATTGCCCATCTTTGTCCCACAGAACAGCTGGAGGATTTGAACTACATGCCTTAAGGCTAGCAGCCCAGCTCCTTACCACTAGGCCACCAGAGCACCCTTCCCCATGAGAACCCTGTATTTGTTTCCTAGGACAAAGGAACTCTGGGTGAGGTTCATAGGGTGTTGTGCTGTAACCAAAGGTGGCCCCTCTCTGGCAGTTCAAATCCACTAACAACTCCTCAGAAGAAAGGAAGGTGGGCAGTCTATTGTGTGAGATTTCTAGCATCCGCCCACTGGAGGGTCAGCTATGAGTCAGTTCTGACTTACCAGGATTTGAGGGGGAAAGAAGACTAAAACTAAAAATCCTAATATAGGAAACATGTCATTGTCGGATTCTCCAAGTACTTTGCATTTAGCTCCTAAAAGCTCATGAGTTGAACAGCAAGTAAGACATTTCTTTTCTCAGGCAGCCTATTGATTTTTCTGGGAGCATCAGATAGACAAATTGTCTCTAGATCAATGCATCAAAAGAGAAAGCATCACTTTACCAACATGTAACCTGTTGGCTCCTCCTTGCCATCACCGAGACTCAAGATCACCAGAACAACAGGACTTTCAGGAACTGGTTACCTCCAAATGACCATCTCCCAGCACTATTAAGACTCTAGAGACCATCCAAACTGCCAAGAAACTCCTTACCACATGTGTCTAATGTAGCGTTCAAATGTGTAACACAGGCCTGCTGAAAGGGAGTAATGGAGAGATCCTTTTCTTAGCCATTACACATTTACATACATGTAAAACCTATTCTAACAGGCCTAGCAGAGCAACAGCCTCCTAGTGGCAGATGCGTATATTTTTGTGTTAAGGATATACACAGATTTCTTTCAGTACAACTGCTTTCCTCCCTAAAATTTATCTCATTGTAATTGTATCCAAAACATAGCAAGCTAAGAAACAAGATCTACATATTCAAAACCCAGTAGAATTTGGCACGTAAATTGCAATACTGGTTTGTTCTGTTTATTCAAATGAGGAAATTTGCTAAATCATTCATTTTAAAAGGCTTGGGTGTTTTTTAAAACCTACTTCTAAAGGGGTAAAAAATTTGTTTTTCATTTTCTAACTATCCATGAGTTGGCTACATTGTAAATGTTTGGCATTAAAATTAGCACACTGTGATAATTTTAAAAGTAATTCCTCAGTGTTATAAATGTATATGAGTTCATATTCTTAGTTGAAAACTTACACTTTATAGTACTGTACTTTTTTTGTCTAAAGTGCAGAAACAATGCTATGTATGTACAAAGAGATAAATTATTAAAGATTGTACATTAAACCAAAATGCACTTATTTTAGCATCATTATAGAAGAAAAGCATAGTTTACAATTGAATATAAATTAGAAAAGGTAAGTGTAAGATAGAGCACTGGCTATTAATGTAGCAGGTTGCTAAAAAGTTCAATGTTATGGTTTCAATTTCCACCTTGTAACTAAGTTATAAGAAGCTACCACTAGGGGGAGCTCTGGTGGCCTAGTGGCAAGAAGCTGCACTGCAATCCCAGAGGAACACGGTTCGAATCCACCAGATGCTCTGCCGGAGAAGGAGGCGCAATATCCTCCTGTACCAGTCAGATCTGATTTGACGGTACACGCACACAAAATAATAAAAAAATTTAAAAAAAAAAAAAAAAAGAAGCTACCACTTGTTGAATTTTGAGTGAAAAATCATTGTGTTAATAAAATACTAATCTCTTTTACAACTAAATACCTGCATGAGGTCAATTTCTTCTAAGGCTTCAAACAATATAGTACTAATCTCAAGTTTGAATGTAGCTATAGGCATAGGAATCCCATTGTCTTCTATTAAGTCAGAGGTTAAAGATTATTTTTTTTTACATTGTAAATCAACCCAGCAACAATAGCAAAATTCTATAGGTCAGCAAACAACAAATGCTGGCAAGGTTGTGGATAAACTGTAACTCTTACTCACTACTGGTGGGAATGGGAAATGGTACAGCCACTATGGAAGGCAGTCTAGCACTTTCTCAAAAAGTTGGAAATAGAAATACCATTTGACCCAGCAATTCCACTACTGGGAATATACCCTAAAGAGACGAGAGCCACAGCTTAAGCAGATGTGTGCACGCCCATGTTTATTGATGTGTTATTCATGATAGCAAAGAGATGGAAACAACCCAAATGTGCATCAACATATGAATGGATAGATAAGGTACATTCACACAATGGAATGCTACACAGCATTGAAAAACAGTGAACTCGTAAAGCATTACACAACATGAGGGAGCCTGGAGGACATTATGGTACATGAAATATCTCAGTCACAAAAAAAGACAAATACACATAACACTGCTGTTTTAAAATAGTACAGGCATGGGTGAAGGTTGGGGAGAGAATAGGAAAAGAGTGAATAGATAGAACGCTGTGATAGATCACATGAGGAGAGAACTGTCTGAAAGGAATATATGATTAGGAATTATATGCATGACAACAATCTGGAACAAGGGGTGCACTGTGGGGAGGGCTGGGGGAGTGCGGGTTTTCAGAAGCAGTTTAATCACACAGAGGGGATTGCCCGTTTTTCTCCTACAGAGCAGCTGGTAGATGTGAACTGCATGCCTCCGAGATTGCAGCACAGCTCTTTGCCACGAGGCTTCTAGAGATCTCTCAGCAGCACTGGGTTTTGATTTTTAAGTTTCCTTCTAACTTGAGAATGGCATGACTACCACTTCTCTGAAAATACCCTGGGGAGCCAACATTAGGCTTCCACATAGGAGGACGTGGTATGTGTAAGTGGGGGAAGCTCAGACCCTGGAACCAAAGAGACCTGAGTTTCAGGAAGACATTATCTGCATCCTTTGGGGAGTTTTCAGTCAATGGAGACAGGAGTGAAAGCCTTCAGAAATAAGCTAGGTCTGTGGCAGCAAGCACATCAGAAGGCCATTTGCAGGCACTTTGAGAACTAGAGAATGAGATTTAAGAACTAACTGGCGGGGGGAGGGGGGTGTGCTCTGGTGGCCTAGTGGCAAGAAGCTGCACTACAATCCCAGAGGAACACGGTTCAAATCCACCAGATGCCCTGCTGGAGAAGGAGGGTCAATCTCCTCCTGTACCAGGCGGATCCAATTTGACAGTGCACACACACAAAATAATAATAATAACTAATTATGAGCCCCACCTTGCTGCGCCTGCCTGCAACCACAACTGTCAGCACTCCAGCACCCAGAGATACACTGCACATCTACGGAGTGGAACTGTGCCAAGCGACAGTGGCCAGGCTTGGACTGCGGCTCCTGCTTCTCACGCAGATTTATTCAAATAATACAACTGCGATGCCACAATCAAGTAATTGCTCCCGGTCTACATCAGCAGCCACAAAATCACCCACCACCACCACCAAGGGAAGTTCCCTGCAGGGCACCACCAGTCTCCTCCTGGTCTCACTGTCCCTTCAGCACCTCTACTCTTAAGACATTCAGGCCAAGGAACGCCTCTACTTCACCAGACTGGCAACACTTAGGGATGCTTTGGGCAGAATATTAAATGATCCAGGAAATATTAAAAGAAGATGAAAAGAGTATACAGAGTCATTGTACCAAAAGGAATTGGTGGGCATAGAAAAAGATCATGAAACAACGTATGAGCAAGAGCCTGTGGTGATGAAGGAAGACGTTCAAGCTGCTCTGAAAGAATTGGCAAAAAATAAGGCCCCAGTTGAATGAAACAAAATGATTAGGTAATAGTAAAGGCTTCCATGCTTCTATTTATATGTACATTAGAAGGAACCTCTAGATGTTTTCAGTACACCTCCCATATATTGTTTTAGCAGTACTAGTTTAATGCTGTTACCCTCTAGAGAATGTTTTCCATTTTTTATACTGTCACAGTTTCCTTGGAAATTGAACTCTTTGAGGCTTTGGGTTTGACATTGCATTTGACTTTTTTTGTAGTTGACATGTGTAGGAAATGATGGGTTGGAATGTACCCTAAATCAAAATATAATGACTGAATTTTGCTTACCCGCTTATAAAGTCATGGTAGGCCTTTCATAACACCTTTTCTCAGTCAACAAAAGCACCAGATGCAATGAACAAACTGATTCCAATGGGTAGGAAGTGCTTTGACCTAAACGAATTTTAAAATGCTGCTTTTCAGTTCTGCCTATGTTAGATGCTTT